CAGGTGAGGACAGGTGAGGACTGTTAGCAGGTTAGCTTCAGCTCATGGTTTTGTAAAAGGAAATATAAATTCAGTAAATATCTATAAGGTAAACTGATTTAAAATAATCATTCTGACTTACTAAGTACATGTAAAGTAAAGTATTAAGTACTTTCTACTTGCTGCCTCAGTTCATATAAAAGTGTACTCTGGTATAAAGTCCAGTTTACTTTAAGTAATAATAGTTTTTACAGTCGTTTAACATTTTAATGTTTATATTCTGATCATGAATAAATGAGATTTAGTTCATCTGATAAATAAAWCAACATCTGTTTGAGTTTAAATTCAAAATGTTTTTGTTTATTTTTATTATATTTAAGAACAACTTTAAGAAAACAGAAGTTAAATGTTTCTGAAACTAAAAGAATTTAAACAAATTAAATAAAATTATTTTAATACATTTTCCTGCAACAGAAACTCAAACATTAAATAATCAGTTTTTACAGTGAATCTGATTCAAACTAAAACTTCCTCTGATTTATTTATGTTTGTTTGTTTGTTTGTTTACCTGACACAACAGAACCGGACCCGAACCCTCAGAGAGGCAGAATCTTGTTGGACTCACCTGGTTCTGGTCCTGCAGGTTCTGGTCCTGCAGGTTCTGCTCGCTGTCTCCTCTCTGCTGCTCCTTCAGGTCCAAAGGTTCTGAAACAAGGCGGAAGTTCTCTGAGTTTGTTTAAAAAATCTCAAAAAAATAAAATTTTCTTCACAAAGAAAAAAAATATTTAAAAATTCTCCACAAGACACGAAAAGAAGAACCCGGCTCGGTTCGGTTCGGTTCTGTAAAAAGCAGAGGAAGAACAGAACCTGGATGTATTTACAGAAGTTCTGATTGTCCCTGAAGTTCTGCAGCAGAACCTGACGGTCCGGTTGGTTCTGCTGCAGTTCTGCACCGGTTTGAAGGTTCTGCTGGTCCCGCCGGTCCCGGACCCACAGGTCGGTCCCGGACCCACAGGTCGGTCCCGGACCCACAGGCCGGTCCCGGACCCACAGGTCGGTCCCGGACCCACAGGCCGGTCCCGGACCCACAGGCCGGTCCCGGACCTACAGGCCGGTCCCGGACCTACAGGCCGGTCCCGGACCCACAGGCCGGTCCCGGACCTACAGGTCGGTCTCGCGCGTGTCCAGGCAGAAGGCGTACAGGGAGCGTTTGAAGTCGCCGCCGCTGTTCGCTTTGATGTTCTTCTCAGAAGTCGCCGCCTCGGTGGTCTCCGCGTCGCGCGACCTGACCGACGACCTGCTGGTCTTGCGCCTGGGTTCGGGGCTCTCCGGTCCGCCGCTGGGGTCCTCCTTCAGGGTGGACTGGTCCTGGTCCGTCTCCCGGTGGTAGAAGTAGTTGAAGTTGGACACGATGACCGGAACCGGCAGCGCGATGGTCAGGACCCCGGCGATGGCGCACAGCGAGCCCACGATCTTCCCGCCGACCGTCACCGGCCTCATGTCCCCGTAGCCCACCGTCGTCATGGTAACCACGGCCCACCAGAACGCGTCCGGGATGCTGGAGAAGTGCGACTCGGGTTCGTCCGCCTCCGCGAAGTAGACCGCGCTGGAGAAGAGGATGACTCCGATGAAGAGGAAGAAGATGAGCAGACCCAGCTCCCTCATGCTGGCCTTCAGGGTCTGACCCAGGATCTGCAGACCCTTGGAGTGGCGGGACAGCTTGAAGATCCTGAAGACCCGGACCAGGCGGATGACCCTGAGGATGGCCAGGCTCATGGCCTGCTGGCCGTTCTGGTGCTCCTGACCCTGTTCGGCCAGCTCGGTTCCGACCGTGATGAAGTAGGGCATGATGGACATGATGTCGATGATGTTCATGATGGTCTTGGAGAACTCGGACTTGCTGGGGCAGGCGAAGAACCGGACCAGCAGCTCGAAGGTGAACCAGATGACGCAGGTGGTCTCGATGATGAAGAATGGGTCTGTGAAGGTCAGGGAGGTCCGGGTCTCGGTTCCGTTCTCCACCCGGATGCTGGCCGGAAGCTCGCGCTCGTCCCGGAACTCGGGCAGCGTCTCCAGGCAGAAGGTGATGATGGAGATGGTGATGACGATCACCGACACGATGGCGATGCCCCGGGCCGGACTGGAGCTCTCCGGGTACTCGAAGATGAGCCAGACCTGCTTCTGGAACTGGTTCTGGGGCAGAGGTTTCTCCTCCTCCTTGATGAAGCCCTCGTCCTCTCGGAACCGCTCCATGGCCTCCTCCCCCAGCTGGTAGAACCGGATCTCGTCCGCGAACACGTCGATGGAYACGTTGACGGGTCTGCGGATCTTGCCGCCGGACTGGTAGAAGTACAGGATCCCGTCGAAGCTGGGCCGGTTCCGGTCGAAGAAGTACTCGTTCCGGAGCGGGTCGAAGTACTTGATCCGCTTGGCRGGGTCTCCCAGCAGGGTGTCCGGGAACTGGTTCAGGGTGCCCAGCTGGGTCTCGTAGCGCAGCCCGGCTATGTTGATGAGGACCCTCTCGGTACTGTCCGTGTCCAGGTCCAGGTCCAGCAGGTCCTCGTCGAACAGGTGCGGACTGTGGTCCGCGCGTAAAAGCGCATCCATGGCGTTCTCACTGCARCTCAGGGTGGTGTTCATGTCGTTGATCCTCCAGGGGCTCCGGGTCTGAGGGGGGCCGCCGCCGCCGCCGCCGCGCGTGTTCAGCTCCTTCCCGAACTCCTCTCCGGGTCCGGACTGGCCGAACCCGGTCTGAGGGACGTCCAGCGCGTTCCGGCGGCTCTCATTGGCGCCGCCGTTCTCAAAGCTCACCAAGGCGATCTCCATCCGGCCGCCGCGCGTCACAGCGCGAGGGACAGGAGGAAGAGGAGGAAGAGGAGCCGGGACTTGTTGAGCCGGAACCCGAACATCCTCACGAGCCGGTTCTGGTTCCGTTAGAGCCAAGCGGAGAGGAGGAGAGGAGAGGAGAGGACGGCTCGG